CCGCTGACCCTCCAGGAAGTGAGCCCAGGCCACCTAATGCGGATGTGGAGAAGCAGGACTGACCGTTTATCGTAGGGGGAACCCTTGTCATGCAAGTATATTTACATTTTTTTGTCTATCAATCGATGACCCAGAGCAGGAAACACATGTGCTGTTGACCAAGTCCATGGAAGCTCTGTTGGCAAAGTCGGCCAAGTTGCGAGACATCGAGTCAAAAGTTGAGAACTCCAGGCCACTTTAGTATTGGTAGGATTGGCGTTCAATGATCACGCAATCAAATTTGAATCAACAGTATTTGTTTTCATGAGTGACCTTTGCATCATCTCATTTAAAGCCATACCCTAAGTGTGAAGTCGATCCTCAAGACTGCCTATGAAGCCATGGACACTCACTATGATGCATTGGCTACAAGCCTGGCTCGCTACCGTGCAGTGAAGACAAAACCGTCTGATACGTTTCTTTGGCACAATCATGTTGAATCTATTGTTATAAAATGGTATATAGCAAAAACATTACTGACATTCCATCAGCCCCGGCACTTTGAGGTTGGCTCAGAACATTGACAAGCAATTGGAATACGCAGAAGTCTTGTGCCTTGATTTAAAACCACTCTGAACAACTGGATTTCTATGGGTGGTGGAACCATGGGGTTTATGTTTTTTGCCGTCCCAGGGGAAGCAAGGCTACACGTGCAGAAGTCCAAGCCCAGCATTCGCCCCAGAAAATTCTGGTGAGAACAGTGTGAACATACATGTGCATATGTATATTCATTCATATTATATCATATATATTTGAAGTAGAATCGATCTTATAAAGTCTGATGCACATATCACGGTATATCACCACATGGTCATACCTAAGGCCGGCTTTGAAATCTGCCCGGACCAAGCGCAAGTCTGAGAACGACGATACCAATTCTGAGTTGCCAGCACCAAAGGTGCCAAAGTCGAAGGCAAAGAGCAAGGCGAAAGCCAAGTCTGCCAAGTAAAGGCAAACTTCATGAAATGGGGTTTTGCAATTCTGAAATGATTTGCTTTGGATCGATCTCACAGCCCTTTCAAGCGTGTGGTTGCATTGGAGTCAACCCTGAACATGCTCACCTGGGCCTAGCGTGAATTCCATGAAAAAAATCGTCCACGGGTAGTGCAACAAATCTTATCCATGCAGTGCAGCATGCCCAGAAAGACCCATCCCTGGCCTTCCCACTGTTTCTGTAGATCCCATTGCCATCGCATCAGCACCTTGGCCATGCCAGGTGTTGTTGGACCAATGGGAAAGCATGCAGCATCGTGCATTGCAAATGGTGCCGGGGACCCAAGAGGGAAAGGGTGAAAAAAAACAAACTATATCAAACTATGAATTATATTTGGATACTTTGGACAAGCCACCATTCTGGAGATTTGGCCCAAAAGACAAACAAAAAATCAGAATAGTTTAGTCGTCAGCTCCCCATGGATACTCGAGCCCGTGTAGTTGCGAAAAGGGAAAGAATTCTGGCCTCATTGAAGGCTTCATTTGAAGCTTTGGGTGTTCACGACCCAGACTTGCCCTGGGGGTTTGTGGCAGGACCCAAACGGCCTTTTGAAAAGCATGCCTTTGAAGCAAGGCAAAGACTCCGTGATTTGGAGCAACTACAGGTTCTGGATACGGTCATTAGCAATTGGAAATTCATCAACTTGGAAGTGAACCGTGATGAAACCGATCAAAATGTGAGCTGTGGCAGCTGAGTGGGCTTTTTTCAATTGCCAATTCGTTATGGCTAGGCCATGCAGTATGGCTTGCGCTGTTGTGCAAATTTGCTTAAATGTGCACGCTGTTGTTCCCACGTGGTGCTCCCATTGCCCTACGTGATGCTGAAAATTACATGACATACGCTAGCGATCCCTGGCAAAGAAAAAGGTCAAAAGCTCCTGCTTCAAAGTTTTTTTTTCTCACATGATCTCCTTCACCAGATCTCTTTCACATGAATCCTTTCACATGATCTCTTTCGCATGATCTTTTTCACATGACCTCTTTCGCATGATCTCTTTCACATGACCCTTTTCAGATCTCTAGCTTATTGTACCCCCAACGATTGGATTTTGATCGCCCAGGCCACCGCCAAGTCTGTAGCTGAGATGAGCAAGGCCGCAGTCGATCATTATGGATCTACAAGTTGCCCAATCACTTCCCGTCTTGCAAGTGTGCCAACTAAGAGAGCAGAAGACGAATGCCATAAACTGTGACGTAGCTGAAGCTGACTCCATATGATCCCATATAAAAATTACGGCAATTATTCTTTTTAGGGATGCTTTGGGTTGCATTTCAACTTGCACTTTTTAACTTTGAACCCTGCCCCAACCAAGGTTTGAGAAGCACAACCTGGCGTTGAAGATTCCGGTTTCCTGGGTTGACTTGGATGGTGGTGATAGCTACCCTGTGCTCAGTATGCTTGACACCATTGACTACTTGGTTCAATCCAACAACTTGTCCAAGTTGTTTGGGGAACAACCCATGGAACAAGTGCAACCAATGTTGTTAGAGTTTTGGCGACGTTACAGCCTTGAATGGCCAGATTATGGAGTCTTTCGAGCTGCTGCTGAAAACAAGCTGTCGCTATCACGAACAATTCCAGTTTACATTCATGGTGATGAAGGTCGTGGATTCAAACGATCGGGTGTCATGATATTGAGCCTACAAGGGGCCATTGGTCGTGGCAGCAAACCTTTCCTCAAAAGCCATCCAATTAGATCTCTTCGTCAACTCAAGATGGGTATCAACCTTCAAGGGAGCTCTTTCAACAGTCGAATGCTGTTTGTTGCAATGCCAAAGAAACATTACAAGGCGAAACCAGATTCTGGGACTATGATATTATTCATTTTCTATCCTCTTAGATTGCCTTTGGTTGTCCTTTCCTGTGACATTAATTTTAATCCCACTCAGCCCCCTATCCTTACTCAGGAGAATTTCCAGGCTGTACTCAACAAGATGATCAATGACCTCCTCAAACTTCAAGACATTGGGTTTACCTACGCAGGGGAAAGATGGAACATCGCTTGCTTAGGTGTGAAAGGGGATCTTCCGTTTTTGAGGACCGTTGGAGACCTGACGAGGCATTGGCAAAGGGCGCACAGGTCAGAGGAAAACAAATCTCCTCCTGGGGTTTGTTGGATGTGTTTGGCTGGCACAAAGCCAGGGGGGCCTTTTGAAGATTTCAACATAGATGCTCAATGGTCTGTGGTTGCTACAGTTGATCCTTGGGTTACACGACCTTCAGTGCTGCAATTGTTTCATTGTATCGATCGTCCCCATGACTATCTCAAGACTGATGTTTGGCACAACTACCATGGAGGAGCAGGTAAAACTTTCATAGCTTCAGTGCTGGCTGAATGTTTGCTTCTTTTGCCGGGGTCAAGGGAAGACAAAATTTTCCAGTTGGATGTTCTCCTACGTCAGTGGGCCAAACGGCCGGGTTGCAACCTTCCTCATTCAGGTCCATTTGTTGCGGAGAGAATTGGCCTTACAAGCTTCCAGGTCTTACCTGAAGGAGGTTGGTCAAAGTTTGCTGACACGCATATCTACCACAGGTTTGTGGAATGGTTCTTGACAGGGAGGATTAATCAATTCAATGAGGACGAGTATTTTTTGATGATTCTTGAAGCTGTCAAAGCGGCCAACGACACTTTTTCAATTCGTTACTCGTCTGGGTTGTGGCTGACGTCCAATGAAGCGCTTGCAGCTGGAAACAACGGAAGAAAGTGGTTACGTATCTATGCAAATCTTGCCTATAGGTGCTTCACTGAGCGAAAATCACGCTTCCCGATCTATGTTAAGTTTCACATGTTGGACCATCACTGGCGTCGTTTGGTATCTGGAGCCCAAAACAAATGGACACTGAACATCCTAGCGGAGTCAGTGCAGGCTGATGAGGAGTCTAGTTTGAATTTATTTGAATTTTGATATGTTGGTCGTTATGTGGTCCTATCCTAGTATGTGTCATCACTGTTGTATTTTCCGTTCCCTGGGGATGTCTCATTTCAGGACTTTGTGGGGAGATGCTGTCGCGTCAGCCGACGCATTTCCCCCAGGGCAATTGGATTGAGAGTACTTCAAAGGTATCTTGTGATGGCAAACAAAGCGTGGGTCAACAGCCCGAACCCTGACACTCAGCAGCCGACGAAGAGAAGCTTCGCCGAGATGACGGGCCCGCTTGAAGCTGATGGTCCAAAGCACAGAAAAAGGGGGAGTGAAGCAATTGTGTGTGATTATGGCTGAACCCCCAAATTGGGAAACACCCGTAAGCCGTAATGACCAAAAAAAATGGTTGAGGCCGTATGATCAAAAAAAACATTCATTTGGGTTCCTAGGTATATATACATTAAATTTCACGAGCTCAGGATTTTGTGATTTTTAGGGAATATTGGATATCAAGGTCAAGATGCAATATTTGGTGCAGTGTACGCGCACAAGGGTGGCACCAAACAACTTAAGCGTCATGGTTTGCACGGGTTTGCACTGGATCAGCCTTCCATAAATGGAATTGGTCCAATTATACTGTAATCGTTCAGAAAATGTGAAACGGTCGGAAACGGTCGGAAACAGTCGGAAACGGTCGGAAACGGTCGGAAACATGATCATGGCAGGCCAAAACTTGTCCAACCCGCATTTTTTTTTTAAAGCATTTCCGCGCAACGCCGTTTTTTTTGGAAGGTTCAAAGGTGTCCAAGGGGAAACGGTTGGAAACAGTCGGAGATCGCAACCTTCGCTCGGCATACATGCATACATACATACGTACGTACGTACGTACATACATACATATACATATACATATACATATACATATACATATACATATACATATACATATACATATACATATACATATACATATATGGTAGTATGACCTCGTTGCTAAAGATGAACAGTTGACAGCCCGAGTGTCTGTAGTTTCGGCTTAAGGGAATGAGTGTGGAGGGACACCCCCTACTGGCCTGTACGTGTGTGCTCTGCCACACGTGGAGGCGGGTGGGGTACCTCCTGGTAGCTCCCGGACGGTCGGAGCAATTTCGATTTGCGGCCCTGCAGCGTTTGCGTTTCTTGCATTCTGAGCTGCTGGACTTGGCCGACGGTGTACCAGAGGGTCCTCCTGTGGCAGTGGGAGCGCCCCTGGTACCCTCCCGAGCGGGGGAGGAGCTTCCATCAGAGGAGGCACGCGCCTTGGCAGAGGCGAGTTCAAAGGCCGGCCCCCTGGCACCCCCTGCAGGGCTCAAGGCTGGCATTGAGGAGAAGAAAGAGTCACCCATAGAAGGAGTTGAGAGAGAGGGCGCTGCAGAGGCATCATCGGAGCTGAAGGCACAGGGGAAAGAGGCAGACCATAAGAAAGACAAAAAGTCCAAGAAGAGCGAAAAGAAAAAGAACAAGGACAAGAAAAAGAGGCGAGAAAAATCGCCTAGTGAAAAGAAGGCAGATAGAGCGTCACGGTCGGAGGCTGGCGTTAAAGAGGAAGAGCCAGACTACTCTGACGGTACGGGCTTAGACGCCCCTCACAAAAGCCCTAGTCCAAAGTCAGAGCCCAAGGAGAAGAGACCCAGTCCGAGTTCAAGGCAAGCAGAAAAAACTCCCGAGAGAGGGAGTCGCCGGGAAAAGAGTTCCCCAGAAAGGACTGAGAGGAGGAAGGTCGTTTCTCCTGAGCGGAGGAGATCTAAGAGGGAAGAATCTCCCGAGAGAGGGAGGAGAAGAGAAGGCAGGGAGTCTCCTGAGAGTGAGAGAGCAAGAAGAGAAGGAAAGGCATCTAGAAGGTCAGAGAGGGACGGTAGCCGGGCTCCTGAGAGGAGGGAGCGTGAGTCTCCAGGGCCAAAGCGAGAAGACAGGCCGAGGAGACGTGCAGAGGAGACGCCTTCACCCCGAAGAGATCGCAGGGAGAGGGCAAGGTCTAGTGGCCACCATAGACGCTCTGGAGGGCACTTGCCTCCTCCTGAGCCGGCAGTGCCACCAAGGCAAAAAGCTCCTGCAGGTCCACCTCCTGGTGAGTTTGGTGGCCCCTCGCCTTTTTGGGGACCAAGGCCAACTTGGGAGCAAAAGTCCAAGGGCAGGAAGAGAAGAGAGCGAAACGCAGATATCTGGGTGTACGGCCTTGACGAGTCAAGGAAGTTTCAGAGAAAGGACAGAGGTGGATGAGCCGGAGGAGGCCAGCGGCGGCAGCTGTTCCGAGGAGACGGCCAGCATCAAGTGTTGAAGACCCTCCCGGTCGTGGGAGGAGAAGGGAAGACATTGCGGAGCTCTACACAAAGGGGGAGCCTATCGATTCTCATCTGGCTCCGCTTACGCTGCTGGAAAGGGGTCATTGGCTGGTGTCTGAAAAAAGCACTTATTTTGAAGAGGAGTGCAAGTGGGCTGGAAAGGTGGTTAGGGTCACTTTGGAAGGCGGTGAGGCTGAAGTTCAAGTGCAGTTGACAGGGACCCAGTGTGAGTCTCTTTTGAAGTATGCTTCAGGTCAAAACCCTGCCGTGATCCGGGCTCACCTTTGTAAGCCGGGCTGTGACCAGAAACGGGTTAACCCGGACTTAGTGCACCTCAGGTCTTTCAGGAGGTTGGAGGACGCTGCTGAGAAGTCGTGGGAAGTCAATTTGGTTTCCGTCGACGAGAACGAGCCCCTGAGAAGAGCAGAGGAAGCATGGAGCAGGAGGCAAAACGAAGGAGACGCGAGGAAAGAGGCTTCGTCGGTGTCATCAAGCAGTCGAAAAAAGAAAAAGAAGAAGAAAAAAGAGAAGAAAAAAGCAGGCGAGGAGAAGGCCAAAAAAGAATTGAAGGTTGGGGGCAAGGCTCTGGCAAAGAAAGAGCTGAAGGCTCTTTACCAAGGAACGGGCCTAGATCCCGATGTGGCGACGAGAAGGAAAGTGGTAAAGAAAGTGAAAAGGAGGTTGAAAAAAGCGAGGCCCTCGTCCAGTTCGAGCAGCAGCGGGTCGTCTACAAGCTCAGCCCAAGGGTTGGAGGACGAGATCTTGGAAGACAGGTCCAAGATCCAACGTATAGCAGTGGCTGGGCCAGGGATTCTGGCCGCGGCAGCGGTACAGAATATGAAACAGTTTGTGATGCAGAGCGGTGGTTCAACGTGGGCCATCGACGAGGACAGTCTGCCCCCTGTGATGGGGCAATATGCCCGGCAGCACCTAGCTCACAGGACTTCAGGCGGCATCCTGCGGGAGGTCATGTCGTTGAGTTTTGTGGGGGACCTCCTCTTGCAAGGACGCGCAGCGGAAGCTCTCGATGGAGTAGCCCAGCGATTAAAAGGGCTGGAGCTCCTGATCAGCGGGCAGCCGTGGGCTACGGCCCAACGTGTGGAGATTACACCCCCACTGGAAGCAGCTATCTCCAGCCGTGCGGAGATCCAAGTTGCGATGCGGGAATCGAAACTCGACTCGCAAGCCCGGGGGGGTCAAAGCTCCTGGGAGAAGGGGCGTGGAAAAAGCAAGAGCAAAGACAAAGACAAAGGGAAAAAAGCAAAGGGCGAGAGGACGCCAAGAAAAGCTCCTGAGAGTGGGAGTTGAAAGCCGCCTGGTAAAAGCTCTGAGGAGAAGAAACAGGAAGAAAGAAAGGGAGACTCTCTCCTGCGGAAAAGTCCCGGAAGATGCCAAAGAGGAGAAGAAGAAGGGATTGGGCTCAGACTATGACGCATGGTCGCCTCGAAGAAAAAAGGAAGCCTTCGCCGATGGGAAGAGTGACTCTGGTGGAGTTGGAAAGCTCCTGGATAGTAGGTTTCACAGCACAGGGGGAGTGGCTGCCACCACTCCTGCAGATCTTTCGTGTACAGAATCTACACCGTCACCAGACAATAGTTTGGTCGAAGGAGTTGCAAGCGACTCAGGCTTGGGCCGAGTGTGCGCTGAAAAAAGTGAGGTGCGCCTGGAATCTGAGTCTTTGGGAATGGGGGAAGTTGGGACGTGGTTACAGGGTAGGATGGATGGTTTTCTAGATGTGCTCTGCAGGGTCAAGCCCTCGGGTAAAGTTTTCCCTTTACCTTCATCCCTCTCTACCCTGAACCTGATGTTCCCTTCTGAATCTCCCTGTGTTCTTGATTTGTTGAGGTCCCTAGTGTTGGCTCTGAATTCTTTGAATGGTGAGGGACTTGTGGCTAGTGGTGCACCTTCTCGTTTTCAACAAAGGATCCTTGCTAATTTGCTGATTGATTGTCGCAGAGTGGCGGCGTGGAACGAGCGGTCTCCTCCTGTCACGTGGGAGGAGTTCTTTAAAGTTAGAGGGATCGACTATAGAGGAGAGGAAGTGCTAACTGCTCAGCCCATTAGGTGGGAAAATGTTAGCCCAGCCTTGCCTGACGAAGTAGGCGGGGTGCCCTTGGAACAAGTGGTGGAATTGGGCTCCAGAGAGTACGTTGTTAATTTTTCAAAATATTTATTGGATCCCGCGGACCAAGTGTATACTAGGCCACCCAGAGTGATGGTCGCTCCTGAACATTGGGAGAATTTGTGCATGAAGCTCCTGCAAAAGGGGGTATTCAACCGGATTCATGAGGACGAAGTGTACAAAGTTCAGGACAAACTTGTCCTTAATGGTTTGTTCGGGGTGTCGAAGCATGAGTTTGAAGGACAGTTTGAAATCATGAGGATTATAATGAACCTCATCCCCGCCAATCGATTGTGTCGTGGCTTAGATAGCGACATTGCCACTCTGCCGTCGCTATCAAACATGTCACCCTTGTGCCTTATGCCGCACGAGAATTTGGTGGTATCTAGCGAAGATGTTAGATGCTTCTTCTACATTTTCAAACTACCACCATCGTGGTACCCCCTGATGGCTTTTAACAAGCCATTACCGGAGTCTCTGTGTGGCGACAAGCCAGGCCGATGGTACCCCTGCGCGGCTGTACTGCCGATGGGGTTTAAGAATAGTGTGTCTTTGGCCCAGCATATACATCGGTACATTGCAAAAAGGGCACTTGGTAGGACGGGATTAGGATCCCAACTGGAAATACGAAAGGACCGAACTTTCTCTGTGGGAAATCCGCTCTTCCGGATTTACCTTGACAACTTCGATGAACTGCAGCGGGTCTCAAAAGGGATGGCCGCAGCATTGTCCGGTGCGGTATCGCCACTGGTTTCCAGCCTCAGGGAAGAATACACTCTGTTGGGCGTGCCCAGGCACCCAAAGAAAGCGGTTGCATCGCAGCTGCAAGCTGAGGTACAAGGTGCTTATTTTGATGGCGAAGAGGGTTTGGCTTTCCCTAAGCCTGAGAAAGTCATGCGCTATGCCTTGCTTACCGCTCGTCTTTTGGAGTCACAGGAGTGCACCCAAAAGCAAGCCCAAGTCGTGGGAGGAGGCCTGGTTTATCTGGCAATGTTCCGGAGGCCACTCCTGGGTAGCTTGAACTCTCTCTGGAATTTTATTTTAAGTTTTGAGGGTTACCCTCCGGTCATCCGGCTTCCCCTTCCAAAGGAAGTGAAGTTGGAATTGGCCCGTTTTCTAGGACTGATACCCCTGGCTTATATAGACTTCCGTTGTACAGTTTCAAAGGTTGTGACAGCTAGTGATGCTTCAAAGTCCGGAGGAGGTGTGACAGCATCCTCCCGTGTAACACCGGCTGGAAGCATTGCTGCCCAGTGCAGCATTCGAGGAGACGTCGTGGAGCCGATTGATATAACTCAGGTCCTCACCGTAGGACTCTTTGACGGAATTGCCGCAGTGCGGGTTGCCGCCGACACCCTGGGATGGAATGTCGTGGGGCATGTAGGGGTGGAGAAAGATGATCGTGCGGCCCGGGTCGTGGAGTCTCGTTTTCCAAACACAATCAGGGTGAAGGACATTGCCGATGTGGACGAAGCTATGGTTCAAGAGTGGGCCTTGAGATTTTCACAAGCTGGGTTGATCCTCATAGGCGCGGGTCCCCCGTGCCAGGGGGTGAGTGGCTTGAATGCTTCTCGAAAAGGGGCAATGAAGGATGCTCGTAGCTGCCTGTTTGTGCACGTCCCAAGGATCAGAGAACTGGTGAAAAAGGCCTTCCCGTGGGCACAAGTGCGCACGCTCATGGAATCGGTAGGGTCAATGGATGTGTCTGATCGGGATGTTATGTCTCAAAGCTTTGGTGAGGACCCGTGGGCAATTGACGCACTAGGAGTTTCCCTCGCTAGGCGGCCTCGTCTCTATTGGATGGACTGGGAGTTAGCTGGTAGTGAAGGAGCCTTGCTCAGTCGACTCTCTCAACCCCGTGCAGTTCAGCTGGAGGCGCACATTAGAGAGGAGGAGTTTTTGCTTCCAGGGTGGAGGAAAGCTTCAGACCTGCCTTTTCCCACATTTACAACTTCGCGCCCCAGGGCTAGCCCTGGGTATAAGCCCGCGGGTTTACATCAGTGTTCTGACGCCGATAAGGCAAGGTGGGTAACTGACAAGTTTCGGTTCCCGCCGTATCAATACCGGGCGGAACATTGTGTGTGTAACAGGGCAGGTACACTCCGTGTGCCGTCTGTGGAGGAACGGGAGGTGATCATGGGGTTCCCCAGAAACTACACCATGATGTGTTTGGCGAAACAACAACAAGGGAGCGAAGCTCACACTGATTGCAGACTGACCCTTTTGGGCAACTCGTGGAATGTCACGGTTGTCTCTTGGATTTTAAGTCAGCTAGGTACCTTGTTGGGGCTCAATCCTCCGCTGTCCATGCAACAAATCTTCGATCGTACCTCTCCGGGGTGCACGACAGATTTTCAAACTTTTCTACAGCGGCCGTTAATGAAACCCCAGCGAAAAATTCAAGGTTCGGGAAATGAAGAACGGTTGGTCAGTAAATTGCTGACCATGGTAAGTTTTTAAGGTGAAGATCTTCTGTTGCAATCTTCTTCGGAAGATCAAGTCAAATATCATCGCCTGAGGGCGAGCATCCCTTCTGGTTTGTGGGCCTGGAAAACCATCACAGGATGGAAATGGCGCGACTCAAATGAGCACATTAATGTGCTGGAGATGCGCGCCGTGCTCACTGCAATGCGCTGGAGAATTGAGAAACAGCAAGTTACTCGCTCCAAGTTTGTACACCTGCTGGACTCGATGGTATGTCTCCATGCCCTCAGCAGGGGTAGGTCCAGTAGCCGAAAATTGAAAAGGTCTCTGTTACGCATCAACTCCCTGCTTCTTGCCACCAATTGTCATGTGGTGTGGGCCTACGTTCACACCAAAGACAATCCTGCGGATGCTCCAAGTCGGCATCCCAGGAAAAGAAAATGGTCCCATGCCGAAAAGGCATCTTGAAGGGACAACGCAAGAAGCAAGGGCCAAGATGCGAAAAACTTTGGGACCATTGCGAGCATTGACTGTCCAACCAGTTACAAAAGCTCGATATCAAAAGGCACTGGATGATTTCTTCACTTATTTAAAAGATGAGAAACTGATTTTGCCACAGTCAGCAGCCCAGCTTGATCCTATTGTGGCAGACTATTTAGAGTTTCTTTGGGCCAAGGGTTCTGGACGTACTTGTGCGTCGAACATCTTGGCGGGCTTGCAAGACACCCAACCCCGTTTAAAGGGACGTTTACCGGAGAGTTGGCGTCTTTTGAAGGCTTGGGTGACCCACGAGGTCCCAAACCGAGCACCACCACTCCCATTAGAGATGCTGGAAGCCATGGTGGGCTATTTCATCTTCAAAGAAGATCATGGTTTCGCCCTTACCCTGCTACTGGGTTTTATGGTCTCCTGCGAACTGGAGAGTTGTTGTCCGTCAAAGGTTCTCATATTACTGTAAATAATCCTCGTGGTCCCGCAGTCATCTCGCTAGGCCTGACAAAGTCAGGTAAGCGGCAAGGGGCGGCGGAAAGTATAACTATCCATGTTGAAGAGGTGTGTAGACGACTTTTTCAATGGTGTACTACACAACCCAAACAGGTCACCTTGGGTGGCCCGTCACACATCTGGAGAAAGAAGTTCTCCGATGCTTTGAAAGCACTTTCATTTGACAAATGGGATTTTAGACCCTATTCCCTGCGCCGGGGTGGTGCAACTCATGCGTTCAGTCAGCATGGAGTATTTGATAAACTGCTGGTCGCTGGAAGATGGCAGTCACAAAAAACGGCTAGAATTTATGTCAATCAAGGCTTGGCGGTCCTCGCGGAGTTAAAAATTCCTTGGACTCCTTTTGCTAGAAACTTTCGTAGGCAGTACTTGAGTGGACTTAAACAACAATTGCCTCCACTTGAGCTCGTTTCACGTTGTTCACAGGTCAGGGGACGTCGGAAGAGCACCAGAAAAGAATGCACGAGAGTTGCATGTGGTGGGGTTAGACCCTCTCTTGTCTTGGGTTTGGCCGGACTTGAGGGGAAAAAACTTCGCATACCTTGGCTGGGGGTGTCCCTTGGGTTTGGCCGGGACCCTCTGGGGGTATGTAGGGAAGGTTTCCCTTTTGGGTGCTCAGTTGGGGTGTTTTTCCCATGTTTAATTTTCTTTAAGTTGACGATCCTGACCTTGCAGAGCAAAAAATGAGGGTGTGAGACAGGTGAATCTTTATATATACACATATATATATACAGAAAAGGACGCTGTCAGGTCCCAATTTGTCCACGTTTCTGGGAATGCAGTGTTTTTGCTACATCATGTTCGATCCTTTATGTTCATATACCTGTGATGGTATTGCTAGAGATCCACACAGATTGTCAGACTTCCTCAGAGGTTGCCAAAGAATGTCCAGAGAGTCATGAAGATCCCCAGGGAAAAGGAAGGAGGAAAAACAAACATAGTGTGTATATATATATATATTGCTTCCCTTAGGGGGGGAGGTGACCAAGGAAAATATGTTTTTTTTTCGAGCTTCTCCCCTTTCCTAGCCCTCCTATGCACATAGCCATGGCACATGGCAAGGACAGCTCCAACTTACACTTTCTCCAAAAATATTTTTCTTGTATATTTCACAGTAATTTGCTATGCCACTGCATATCTAATCCAGGTACCCTGTTACCATAATTGCTTGGCTGTGCTTTTATGATCTTTTATGACAGGATGAGTAACACCTAAAAAGAGGTTTATAAAACTTGACAGAAAACAGCTATGACATAACACATGGGACTAGGAAGTAGCAGCTCCCAGAATGCTTTCATATGGAAAGGGGTCCCTTCTCCATCCTTTTGATCAATACTCACTCTTGTTCTCAGTTCTTTGATCTCTAAACTGTATGAAAAGTTTCAGGGGTTGTTTGTGCTTTAGTGGGTGAATGGTTTCAACCGGAAAGCAAGCGCATTGTCGCAAGTGTGCAGTATCAGTATACATATATATATATATATACATATACAGTAGAAATGGCAGCTTCGAACATGCACTGATATCTAGAGGGTATTTTGTGATAAAAGCAACATTTTTTTGCAGATACCATAGCCATTTGCTGTGTCAACACATCCAAGCTGCATATGCACTTAGAATGCAACTATTTTATGTATACATTTTCTTATAAAGTACATACCGTTATGGAATGGGTGGCATATAAGTCACCTATGCCCTTACAGGCACAAGTGTTCTACATTTTTCCTGCATATGCAATGGTATTCTTCCAGGTTTCAATGCAGTAAAAGATCTTTGCTTAAAATATTGATTGATCACAAGAGTTGGCAAATTCCAGGAGCACTTCCATTTCCCCCTTGCTTCAGAAAAGGCGTTTTTACCTGCATATTCCATGGTAATTTGCTGTGTCACTGCAAATATAAAGGCAGACATTCTATTACCATAAATGTACTCATGGCCGTGGGCAAAACTTAAACTATGTCAGTATAAGTTCATCATGATAACCAGAAGGGCACAAGACCAAGTAAAGGAAACACTTAAGCAACCTTACCAAACAACTGTATCTATAGAATGGCTGCCTTGCTTTTCATTGATGCAGCAAGTTACCATGAAGTATGCAAAAAAAATGCGACTACTTGAGGAGGGACAGTAGATTGGAATTTGCACTTTCATGTGCTAAAAGAGTTATCTGGAACTATGATGTCAACCAAAAGGCGGCCTGGCAGTCCAATATCAAAAACCACCAATGCAAATACAAAGTGCTATGTATATATTATATATATATAATATATATATATATATATTTACCGTCTTTGCAATAGCTGTATACCTATGTGGTACCTATACATTAATATATACATGAAGTGCGAACTGACACAATGAATCTCTATGTTTCAAGATGTTGTTGGGCAAAGAACTTTGCCATTCATGCACTAAGACCACCTATCAAAAAACAATAGAGCTACAAAAAGCAAGCAACCAAGAATAGAGCTAACAATTAACAAACCAAAAACAGTACATCTCCCAAGAACTTTGATCTTTCATATATGATCAAAAGAGGAAAAAGAAACATAAAATATTCAAATTACTTTGCTTCGTGTGATCCCCACTATGACATTTATACATTTTCTTACTGGCATATCTTCTGACATTCTGTCTGGCATAGCTTCTGACATTCTTTCTGACATTCTTTCTGGCATTCTATCTGGCATATCTTCTGGCATTCTATCTGGCAAAACTTCTGGCATTCTATCTGGCATATCTTCTGGCATTCTATCTGACATTCTATCTGGCATATCTTCTGACATTTTTTCTGGCATTCTATCTGGCATATCTTCTGGCATTCTATCTGACATTCTATCTGGCATATCTTCTGACATTTTTTCTGGCATTCTATCTGGCATATCTTCTGACATTCTATCTGGCATATCTTCTGACATATCTTCTGACATTCTTTCTGGCATTCTATCTGACATTCTGTCTGGCATATCTTCTGACATTCTTTCTGACATTCTTTCTGGCATTCTATCTGGCATATCTTCTGACATTCTTTCTGACATCTTTTCTGACATTCTTCCCGTTGAGGTCCGGCAGTGCCCACTGCGATCTGGAAGTCGCGGTTGAGGTCCGGCAGTGCCCACGGCGATCTGGAAGTCGCGGTTGAGGTCCGGCAGTGCCCACTGCGACCTGGAAGTCGCGGTTGAGGTCCGGCAGTGCCCACTGCGATCTGCAACTCGCGGTTGAGGTCCGGCAGTGCCCAGATCTGGAGCTCGCGGTGGAAGTCCGGCTGTGCCCACTGGGATCTGGACTGCGAGGAGGAGGCGGCGGGTGAGGAGGCGGAGGAGGCAGAGGAGGCGGAGGAGGAGGAGGAGAACAATTCTGATAAAATCTAACAACCCTCACCTGGCAGGTGGGGAAAAAAACGCTTAAAACCACGTATTTTTGGGGACCTGGTGGCCTGTGGCGTCCCACTCTCTCTCTCTCTATATATATATATATATTTTTTTTTTTTAAATGCACACAGTGAAGACACATACAATGTTCAGTTGTTTATTGTTCTGCCTTGCCGTTGTGTTGCTCATTGCCTCGCCACCCTCATTCATAAACTGGGATCCCCAAGTCACCATGTCCCAGAACTATAGATTTCAATTTCAACCATAGAAAAATATCGTTTTATCTATAGTTTTATCCCCATGTCAACACTAAAATGATCTAATTTTGGATGATTTATTTGGGTACCCATAGTTTAACCTCCAGATAGTCAAAACATAAACCATCAATATGAGATAGATTGAGATAGTATTACACAATTAGTCAAAAAATGTCCAACACTTTTTGGACCTCCAAAATGAAGGGATCTAATTGATCCATATTGATCCAAGGGCCTCAACCCGGGTGGCCTTTTTGTGGTATATTGATGTACCATCTACATTGAGTAGCTGTATAAATACATGGACCAAAATACATCCATAGAAACCTAGTCATATGATATAATATGATGTATCTATATAGCCAAACAAAAATCAACTATATAAGTAGGTTGTATATGTTGTAGTGTTACATAACCATACGACCATATGTGAGTTTGAATACGCTGTAAAACCAACTTAGCTAAATATGGGTCACCCTCAACGCATCGTCCGCTAAACCGCTGGAGGTTGAACACCAAGAAGAAAACACTCATGGCCTGCGACACTGACACCGAAGCTTCGGATGCCAATTTGCTATCCTTGTGGGGAAACTTGGTGAAGCTGCGCTGGTCAGACTCGGTCAGACTGTTCATCTTTGGCTATCAACTTTTCCACTGGCTGGTCATCTTCGGTCTATTGAATTGTGATTTCTGGTGTTTACATAGACACACAGAGACTTGGTGAGATGACTTGTTGAACTCCAAGCAGCAATATCCAGCCGAATGGACAAGGAACCTCTAAATGTCAACCCAGGGTGAATAAGCATTGGAGTTCCTGAAGATAAAAATGTGATAATGTTGGTAAAACAATAATAAACCATCCCCAGATTCACCATTTTTGTAGGTGGTATGGTTGACATTCCCAGTCATGGGTGGTTTATGACATTGTTTTACCCACATTAATTCTAATATATATATATATATATTTATATTATTATTATTACTATATTCCAATCATACATAGATGTTATTAATGATGCGGATGTTATCGACCTGTGGAGGACTTCGTCCCAACGGGTGAGGCTCAACACAGACACCTTCCCCCCATTTGACTATTTGAGGAAGATTGGGGCGCCCCCAAAGTGTGGTTCTAGTGTATGGAAGTGGAATCCTTGAAAATAGTGTAACTAGAACCACACTGGTTGAGAAAAAAGTGTGGTTCTAGTAACCTTTATTTTTTCTGGTTACTTTCAGGGTCGTGGAAAAGCACAGAATTTTCGACCAATTTTTTTGCATATCCTCAAAGGAACCACGAGCAACGATGAATATCCTGAACACTGGCAAAAAATCACTCCTGATACCCCAGGAAAAATGAGATCTTCTTCTGACACCTGGAAAGACTGTCGCACAAATGGTGCTTCAGAAGACCTGAGATTGATGCGCAATCACTCACAATCACATAATCATCTTCCCGTGCCCAACAGTGTGCATTTCCAGCTCCAAAACATCAGGGGAGTACCCCCTCCTTGCTCTGCAAAATCTCCTGGCTCGGCCACGGTGTCACTAAGGAAGTACAGATGCTTTGACGCCTTCGAAGTATTGGAGACCTAGATCAAACAACTCAGATGGGTAGATCCGATCCACCTGATCACATTATGCCTTTTCTGGAGCTTAAGACCAATAGCCGCTAGCCAGTTCTGCATTTTTTTGGAGGTATTTAGCGAATCATCATGGTGCAGTTTTCACCCTTTTTGGGAGACTGAATTCGCTACAATGGTTAGATGACCCAACACAATCGCTGATTTGCTGGATTTGTCATCCCCAAAAAATGGATAGCTGTCTCCAGTGACTTTCCTATTTGTTTTGAGGTGGAGTTGAAACCATTCAATCATATTTCAAGGACATCCAGGATGAATTCGCAAGACATGATTGGTTTAGATTGCTAGGGAGAATATTCCATGGTATTGCACACTTGTGGTGGCAGCAGCCATACAATGTCATACGCTTTGATTTGTTGCTTGCTTTTGGGCTTAGAGGAGTGGACATCACATATCCGACACGGAAAAAAGAGTGAACAGGGGATCAACAAATTATTAAGGATCTCACTTTTATATCAACATGTTGTGAGGTTGTCATAAGATTGAGATTTTGGCGTGTTGACATCAGCATTTTCAGTGCCTTCCCAGCTCACCAATGTGTGGCTTCATTTATATACCCCTATTATCACTATGACCCAACAGTGGGCAACTGTCAACATGGCATGGATTAATGGATGGTACCTTTCAGAATTCCAGCGTGTTTCCCATGAAGTCAGGGGGAATAGGAACTGATGATCTCTAGGGGGCCCCTAGTTTGATGGCAATCCAGGGTAAGCTGCAGTTTGTCACATCATTCCATTGAGATGGCGCTGGTGGGATGACACTAGTGGATATCACAGCGGGGATAGGCATTCGGAATGGTATTTCCTGGATAAATCTGTGGTGAATGGCTGCGTCTGTCTGAGTCTGTCTGCATCAAGCATGAAGGTGTATACAATTACGGTATATTACAGTATTATATATATCTATATATCATGTATGTAAATGAATGTAAATACTCTGACCAATGCAATACCTATTCTCAAATAAAGTGAAGATGTACATACAGGTACAGGTGCACATAGATGCATGCTTGTATCGATCCATCCATCGATCAATAAATCTATCCACCCATTCATGCACACACATTCATACATGTTCAGAAAACGACAGAGCAAACAAAACTTCTAAAACACTGAACCCACTGTCAACGATCCAGAATTCAACTTCAAACCTGCAACAGTTTTCTTTTTGTTCCTTGAATTTCGGTCCAATAATCAAAAAAGATCCGCACGAAAAGCGTGGGTTTTCCCTGATACATTATACATATAAAGTGTATTAGTACATAATGCTTCACTGGCTTGTCCCTTATCCCTGGTCTCCATCCACACATATCCAGTATGCCCTCCAGTAATCATATCCAGTATTCCCCAAACTAAATGGAGGCTTATTTCTGGCAAAATGAACGAAATAAATGGAGGATTTTCCAGCAAACCATGTTTGATTACCAGTATCCCAGGTATAAGTTGGTGTGTAAACCCTATTGCTGTAACTATAGTATACTATTGTCTAGAGTTATTATTACCTTAAACCCAAACGTTATTGGCGTTATAATCCACCTTAGCTATCTACTTTGAAGTGCATTTCCAGTTCAGAAGTGGAACATGATTTCACCACATATCATATCCGAAGGTTATAGCATATCCATTTGTTTTGGGTGGTTTGAAAATTTGCCTGGTAAAAAAAGCCCTAGTACTGTCATACCCCAACCTTTTTTTTAGGGGGGTTAGTTGTTCGCATGGTTAAAAGAAAACAATGGTAAAAAAAACGATGGTTATAGCCATTCATGGTAAACAAAAAAATATGGTAAAATTCGCATGGTAAAAAAAAACACATTGCAATATCATACCCCAACCTTTTTTCCGGGGGGTTAGTTGTTTGCAGGGGAAAAAAACATGGTGAAAAAAATCGATTGTTATAAATAATGTTAATGATAAATATAGATGGTTCATAAAATAATGATTTTGTGGTGATAAGTCATTAAAAATCACAAACATCACCACAAAAATCGCAACTTTTTAGCTGCCAAGGAATTTCATCATCGTCCTGTCCCTATCGTGCCTGGGCAGTTCCATTGGCTTCACGGGCAGCAACTGGGCCTCGCTCCTGGGAGGAGCCGGCGTGGTACCTCGGTGAGAAATCTGAGGAGGAAAAAGGATGGGTCTTTACCCTCTGGTAATTTAACATAGCTATTGAAAATGGCCCATTTATAGTGGATTGTCCCATTAAAACTGGTGATTTTCCATAGCTTTTCTAGAATCTAGATGGTTTTTTGATGTTTTTAGATGGTTATCTAGATGGTTTTCTAGATGATCTTGCCTTTTTGTCATGGATGTTTTTACAGAAATGTGTTGAAGGTATAATTGTTCAGATTTGAAAGATGACCTAATGTGAGTCAAGCAGGAACACATGGGAGGTTCACCAGAGATAATGAAAACAAGTACATGTCAGGAACAATCATGCTGGTTTCACCGAGAAAGTTGAGGATTCAGCAACAAAGATGAGTCATAGGAGTCTTTGGCTTCCACGTGTCATAAAATATGGGTCGCACTGATGACCGGAAGCCAACTCTGGTGTGTTCCATTCAATAGTTTGTTCTTTTTTAATGTGAACTAAGGCAGTTTCTTTGAGAATGCTTCACGGTTGAACACTTGCCGAAACCACAGCGGAAAAGTCTCATGTTTTCTTCAGGAAACAAGGTAAGGCTTGCAGTTCAAGGTTCATGACCTATTCAGAATTTTCATGGTTGTAGCTATAGATTATAGGTCCATGACTGCCATAAACATCCATAATTAAACTATTTAATGGTTGTAGTTATAGGTTAAGGCTCCGACTTCAGCTGATTTCAGCGGATGGCCATCCCCGATAGCTTGGACGGTAAACATCACCAGTTGGTAGATGGCAAACATCCAACTATGTATAGGGTTTCAACTATCGGTGGCGCAGGATTTCGCAATCTACAGTATGTAAATATATCCAAATACATAATGATACAGAATGGGGAATTCAGATCCAAGTCTTGGTGTTCAACTCGTTCGTTTGTAACGAGGGTCTAGGGTTGTGCTGGCACTGATAGGGTTGTGGGTTGAATACAATGATTCACAGGATGTGGTGACGGTGGTAAATAATATGAGCACTTTCAGAATCACCACTGCGTTGATGACGTTTTGGTTGGGCTTGTACGACTCAATTAGTATTTGCCGGGGATCATCCAAGAACTGGGAATCCCCAAAGCACCGCTCCTCAAATTAAAGAACTTCCATGCCATGCCGTTGGATGACATTATTTTTGCATAGATTAAACCAATTTGGATGGTCAGCCATTAAAAAAGGACTTCAAACATCCATTGGCAGTATCCCACTAAATTCTCATGATATCGCTATTCAATCCCACATCTTTGTTGGTTGAATCACCATGGCTTGGGCTGTTAAACCCCCAATGAATCCATGTTTTGACATCTTATATATATATATTTTTTCAATTTGTTGGTTATAGAAACCCGTATCTATACATATATATATTTATTTATTTATTTATCTATTTATACATGTATGGTTGTCCCATTGCATACAATGTTTTCTACCTTTGTCACTGCTTAAATCCCTCATTGATCCCACATATCCCTATGACCCGTGATATTTCCCTCATACCACCATGATACTTCTAACATATTCTAAAATATTTGATTTATATATCATATTATATATATACACATCCCCATGATATGTCCATCATATTTTGATGATACCACAATGTGAGGCCCCCTCAGCTATAAGTTCGTTTCCAACTCCATAACCTATCATTACATTCCCAGTATATACAGTGTATATATATATATATAGATATACACAGTATACATTAATATATACTTGATATATATATATATATATTCCCCTATATATATATATTCCCTTATATATATATATATATGTATTCCCTTATATATGTACATTCCCTTATATATATATATAAATACAATACCTCCAATTTTCCCTACAATATCTAACACGTTAACGCTTGGCACAAAGCATTTTTTGTGGGAGATGGTTGGATATTTTGAGCCATCTTCAAGCAGGTTTTTGATTTTGTAGAAGGATATTTTTGGGATCATTTTAGAGGACACCTTAAGCCATGTTTTTGATTTTGCAGTGTTTTGTAGAGATGTTTTTGGTTTTGTAGAGAAATTGGCTGAACCATGATTTAATTTGATTTCATATTATGGTCTCAATTGGTTTCATAAATAGTTGACGCTTATGTTCACACATTTTCTATCATTTTCTGTGGTATTGTCATCATCGCAACATCGCTGCGGATGGAGAGGACAGTGATTGTGAGCACTGGGCAGGTGAGAGATAGGCGACCAAGTTTCATGATCCCTGCCGCTGGCACATGCAGTGCACAATTTGGACATTTTCACTGGCTGATTGCACTTTTTCACTGGCTGATCTGCAAAGATCCATTTTGACATAGCCTATGCACCTTCACTGTTTTTACTTGCATAGACTTCATCCAAATTTGGAAGGTTTTAGTGATGTGCTGTGTGTCGTGGATTTCTAGACATAAAGATTTTAACGACGTGTGTTATATGATGGTTTGGAATAGCGAAGCTTTTATTTTAATGTATTTCAAGCGTGCTTTGTAATCTGAACGCCTCGTTTTGGGATTTGTCTACCAGATTGGTTTTCAGCTCCTGCTCACATGCTTTGGGTTCGCCATTCCTTAGCCATTCAGCCGTTGGAGCAGGAACAAAAAAAGAAGACGAAGAAAGCACCGAGAAAGCAGCAAAGAACCAAGGGTGAGATGAAGAGAACGGCCGGTCGAATTTTGCATGCTGTTTTAGTCTGGGGTTGTCTTTGGGATTGCCTTTTTGTCTTGCTGCTTGAAAAATATCCGGCTGCCACATTGAAGCCATTTCAAGCTCACCTCCATCACCTGCCCGCTGTTTGCAGCGATGTCTTGGTGGGGTCCAAGCTGGTACAGTGACAGCTGGTCCTCGTGGGATGACCATGGCCGTGATGATGGCCGTGGTCGTTGGGATGATGGTTGGTGGTGGTCTGGTGGGCATGAGTCACACCAAAATTGGCACACACCTGAAACCCCACCTGAGCCAAGCAACCCTGAGAGTGAACATGATGAGTTGCCAGGAGACCTGAACTACTCCTACCTTGGAAACTCAACAAAACACTCGAACTCCCTGCCACCAGCGAAGCAGGCTGATGCACCGACTCTTTGCGACCCAGAGCAGCGCCGTGCCTCCCGATGTCAAGAAACCGTCGAAGCTGGCAACGCATGCATAGAGTTGTACTGCACTGGCGGCGGCGTGGTGGTTCGCGGTGAAGTGACATAAGAATTGGGAAACGATACAGACAGTAAGATTCTTATCGTTTGTACTGGTTAAAATTGTATATATGTGGTATATACATATAATATATATATATCTGTATACATGTAGCTGACTGTTTTTACAAAAAAAATGCCAACAAAGCATTTTTTTGGTACTTATTCTTGACCATCCCTGTCCTTACTTTTTCTGTGCGTGAGATCTGTGAATATATTCATGCCCACCCAGTGGCATGAACTCAATGTTCAGTTCATTCACTCACGATCAGCTTAAGTCTTTTTTGGGTTAAAGTACCATACAGGGATAAAGTGTGGGTCACTATGCTCAAGCAATCTCTCAGATTGCACGGGCGTGGTGAAAATTCCAAAGACTTATAACATCCGAAGTCTCTAGGATGAAGGTTTTTCAAAATATTTTTTTTAATGATTTTGATACGTTTCAGATATGATTTGTTGTTATGAATTGTTCCTGGCGTGGTTTTGCAGTTATGATGTTGGTACGGATTTAGATATGATTCTGATATGGTTTCAGTTATGATTCTTGATGTGGGTCAAAATTGTGATTTGAAGCCAACCCATCGGAACCATATCCAAAATCATATCAAAACTCAAAACCATATCAAAATCGTATCAAAATCGCATCAAAACCATGTCAAAATCATATCAAAACCGCAAAAAAAACCTCGAAAGATTGACCAAAAACCTGTCCCTGGGCTGTTTCTGTTTCTTTTTTTGAAGCCGACACACTGTAACCATATCAAAACTGTATCAAAACCGTATCAAAATCGTGTCAAAATCGTGTCAAAATCGTATAAAAATCGCATCAAAATCGTATCAAAATCGTGTCAAAATCGTATCAAAATCATATCAAAATCATATCAAAACATAAAACCACAAAAACCTTCGAAAAATCGACCAGAAACCTGTCCCTGGGTTGTTTCTGTTTCTTTTTTTGAAGCCAACTCATTGGAACCATTTTGAAACCGTATCAATCACATCCAATACCATATGTAAACCATAACCCAAACCATATCAAAAACATAACAAAACCATATCGAAATCACAACCCCAAATTCAAAGCGTATCAAATTCATATCTTCCAATCGTATCAAAAACCATATTAAAATCGTAAAAAAAAAACTGAATTTGGCACCCTAGAGGGATTCCGGGGTTATAGCCAAAGACAACACCGGAAGCAAAGTGCGACAACGAAGCGGCAGAAAAATTGAAGCTACGACAAAGAATGAGACACCGGGCCTCTACAAAATCCAACAGTGATTTTTGTTTATTTTTAGACCCCAAACAAAGGTTTCTTTACAAAATCCAGTTGTTTATGGGATGACTTTTGAGGGTGCATTTGAACAAAGTGTTTAGTGCTTATATATAGCAGATGGATTTCCATGATTTGGATTTCGTAGAAGCGCTGGTGCCCCAGGTCCCAGCAAAAATGGGGTTCGGTGTTTGGATTTTTGTAGGCCTGAAAGTTTCCTGTTCACATGCTATTTTTTTGGTGTTGTAGGGGCCGCTTTGGTGTTTTCCAGAAATGTGTCTACAAAATCTGAAGTTCCAACCCCACCAGGTCAATTTCTGGAGGTAGTATATATATATATATATACGCACACATTATATCCATTTTATATCCCCCCTGAATCACACCATAGTTGATGGCTAAATCATCATCTTTTGACCATGGTAGCTCCGTGATACGCCTGTGACACTTTCACCAGGTCTTTACCTTCGCCTCAACGCTCGTGGGCACGGCTGCCGGCGCGGCAAGTGGCGTCTACTTGACGGAAGCTCGGTCCAGGTAGAGCCTGGTGTCATGGTCAGTCTCTTCAATTGATATGTATGTTTATGATTGTATATGTATGCATTAATCGTACTACTGTATATGTATATTTGTCAACGTGTTTTTAAAGTCGCATAGATAGAATGTTAGTTTTGATATGTTTTGATTATTCTTGGAGTTCGCCATGAACCGGGGGGATTGAGCTAACTGCCACATCACGACGTACATGATGGTTGGTATAACGTGTTTTCTTTTCAGCTTGGTGTTTTCTGTTTTTCAGGTTTGTGTTTTTTGTTTTGTTTTATAACTTGATATGTGGGCCTCCATTGATTCAGACCCATTTAAGGTTTCTAGTTCCAACAGAACAGATCCCCAAAGTTAAGTTATGGTCAGTCGTCAGAACTATGCACATATAATGCGTATATATATATATATGTGTGTTTTGCCCAATGAAATGAGACGCCTTAATTTTGACCCAGAGCCCTTGCTGCACATCAGGAATACCTTTCAGACAACTACCATTTGGACGGTGTCTGGGTTTCGAGTGGAGAAATCTCACGGATCATAAAGTTCACTAGCAAGTGTGCCATAAGATTGGGATAAAGCATGGTTAAATCCCAGGTGAGCCCCGGTTTTTGGAGAATCTTATGTCAAATATGTAATTAATTAATATGTCAATAAAATTGGCATCCAATAAATTTGTCACACAGATCCAATCCACTCGTAGATTCTAGATATTTTTCCCAACGGAAACTGATGGGTTTTCCACATAATAGTGGTTTGCTGAAAGGAATTGAGTAGACAAGTATTGGGCTGATGAAGATTCTCATTTAGGTCGGGTATGAAAGGACATTGATGCCAACCTTCGAGGACAAAAAATGGCTTTTGTTTTTTGAAGGATGCGGGTTCAATGGCTATGCAAAGTATACTTTCCGCAAGAATACGGTCGAGTGAATACTGGAAGAAAGAGTCAAACGATGTCATACGTGTCTCTTGGATGATACACATAAAGACCTCCATGCCAAGAGAGCACATGTACTGCTAAGACCATATGTGCCATGGTTCAAACTTTTGACATTAGGTTTGGTCATCCCACCATTGTTCAGAATCCTTGTAGTGGCCATGCGAATTCTCGGTGATATGACCATCCCCCTTCTTGGGAATCCGGGGCACCCCCAAAACAAGATGCTTTAGGGGTGATGATCGCCGACATCTTCAAGAATTCCTTGGGCGATTTGCAGAGTGTAATGACAATCCAAAGATTCAGGTATATATTACAATGGATCCACGATGCTCTTATTTTCTGCGGCAGGAATGGCCCATTGCATTGGGATACATGTGACTAAATTTACTTAGTGCATAGTGGATGATACGAGTTTGAAGAATCTTTGATTTTCAGGGCAATACTGATTCTTAGTGGCTGGGTAAACAACATTGGGTTTTGCAGGCGAAATTGCCAAATTTCTGGCCATGGGGCATTTGGAAGAGATTTGGATCAACTTTGGTGGATATGTTAATTCATACTGTTGCTATAAATTGGTGCTATATACATATATATATGTGTGTTTTTGCTGAATATGTATACATTACATATATATATATATCATAATATATACGAAAACATATTAATTAATATATGATATAAATTTAATACGATATATAATATGTTGTTTAATATTATACATAGTATGATTTGATATATATATATATTATAATGCAATAAATATTAAGTATAATTATATAATATAGTTCATTATAATATATTTAAATATAACATCACATAACCACATAATCATATATATATAATATAGTATAATTATTATATAACTATCTATATATATATATATATATATCCATATGTATGCATATTTATATACACTAAGAAGTTCAAAGCCAGGGTCCAGGAACGCATCTTATGCCTGAAGAGGTATTCTAATGTGAAACTTCACATTGTGAACGCCTGTGCTGGCTTGGTAGATGTCCGAAGGCCCTGTCTCGTTTATTTCCCGCAGGGGCTTGATTCAACCATATGTGACATTCATCCAAGCCATCCTGGCTACATGCCGATGGCTTTGTTTGCACAGGAACTAGTTCGGCGAGCCCGGTTATTCTGGAAGGAATGAATCAAACAGCTGCAGGTGGCATGATGGGGTCCCTGCTATTCCATGATTGGATATTGTTGCTGCCTGTTGGAGCCCCCCGATTTGCCCTTTGGACTTTGAACCAACCAACCAACTAAGATTTTTTTGCCGGGTATCCAAGACTGGCCATGGGATGACCACCTTTCTTTGAGGCATCATGCTGCGATACATGATGAACGACAAGCTGCAAAGCGCAGGTCAACAGAGCCTCGTTTTTTTCAAAGACATCTGGGTGAAACATTGGGAATTCATGGGATATTACTGGACATGGAAATACCATTGGAAAATATAGCAATATGCGGACATAGGAGTCAAGCAGCCAGGATGGTTTGATTATGAGATGTAAGAAAACGGGGAAGGAAAAAAGAGCCGCGGGTATCCCCGCGCAACGGATAGAATCACAGAGTGGGGCAGTGTCCCCCCCAAAAAAAAGGTGTCCCAAAAGGCTCCCATCCGCCTAGAATAAACGGAACAAATCCCAAATTGAACAGATCTGTTGCCAATCCCGGGTCTGTGATGGCGTTTATTAAGGGGAAGGGTTGACAGACAGTGGGGAGTGCAGGGTGTTGAAGCTTTTTGATTTGGTAATGTCTGCCAATCATATGCCGCCTGGAATACTGATGTATGTGTGGTTTTCTTCTTCTGACATTGCGAAATTGGCCGAAACTGCACTCTGACATGATCTGCTGCAGCTGAAAATGATTGGCAGGTCTTAGTTTCAGCCATGCTTCAAACTCTTCACATGCCCACTTTGCATTTGAGCAATCACTAGTGGTCTTGGCAGTTCTTCTATCACAAGATGTTCAATGATTATATCACAAAAAATGGCCAATGTTTAGTTGCTCTGGCAACTTTCTACACGAAGAAGGTTGACAAAACTCTACTGATCTTTCCGAATCTTTCCCCAATATATAGCCCGAATGGTATGACGGTATGACCCACACACATTTGCATTGATGGGTCCAAGAACAGGGAGCAGGGGCCATGAGTGTACCCCATGTTTTTTCGGATTTTATGTCAGCTGTCCCGCCTTCTCCTTCTCCTTCCTTCTCCTCCGCGGGACCTCAACTGCAAGCGCTAGATCGCAGTGTTCCCCGCCGGACCCGAACAGCAAGCTCAGGATCAGAGCGTTCCTGGACCTCAACTACAAGCGCTAGATCGCAGTGTTCCCCGCCGGACCCCAACAGCAACCTCTGGATCGCAAGCTCCGGATCAAAGTGTTCCCCGCCGGACGTCAACCGCAAGCCGGGTCAGAGTGTTCCCCGCCGGACCTCAACCACAAAGAATCTCCGAAGATGTGCCAGATAGAATGTCAGGAAGACTGTCAGAATATATGTATGATTATGTATGTCAGAAAGAATTTCAGAATATATGTCAGATAGAATGCCAGAAAGAATGTCAGAATATTTGCCAGAAAGAACGTCAGAGTATATGTCAGAAAAAATGATTTCCAGATGGTATGCCAGAAACTATGGCAGAATAGTGGACCAGGGTGGGGATCGCTCGAAGAAAACGTGTTTTTCCGAGTCCTGAAAAAAAACAAACAAACGACCTTGATGCTTAAAAGCAGCCATAAATAAAGAAGGGAAACATTTTAATGCCTATATATTTTCTGGGCCAATTAGGGTCCATATTTGTCATAGGACATGACTTCTGAATCTCTGAACCTGCGCCGACCGAGGATTCTTTATCTTATCGACTCTTGGACTGCAAGTTGTGTTCTTATGTTTGGTGCAAAAACAAGGAAAACGGATAACAAACAGCGCACAAAGCAGGTTGGAAAAAGACTGACCGATCTAAATGGTTAGACCGACCAACATGGAATAACTGTGCTTGAGTGATATTACGTTGTTTTAGCAAACCTGAAGCAAAATGGGTCTGATTCTTGGATTTACTACATTGAATGGGTTACTCCCAGCAACAACTAGCGATGCTGAGCAACACCGACCCATCTTTTTGGTGAACTGACTGAATTGGGTAAGATGCAGAAACAACATGGGTTTGTCC